GGATTGAAAATGACCCGCACGGATGGCTTCGTTATTGCTCCGCAATACCCTATATTAGAAATACCTACCGGTTTGCGAACTTGTCAGTCAGTAGGCTAGGCTGTACTGTTAGCTGAAATTTTTAAACATTAAGGAAGTGACCACTGAAAAGGAGAAGCCGGAGGGCTGTGCATAGCAATTGGTCCATTCAATCTTTGGATCAACGTGTCAGTGAGGGGCCGAAGCACGACAGTAACTAATCAACATTCTTTACCGCTGGGCAAAGCGCCGCACGCGGCAAATAGAACCCTTGTAGTCAACGCATCAAGCTGCGAACACCAGGCCACGAGGTTCACCTTGGCATAGGCTACATCTATCTGATGGTTTCAACCTAGAACGAAACCGGTTTTGGGGTGCCGGGGTTGGGAGAAAAATCACCGAATCACCATTGGGATACGGTCCCTGCGCTCGTAACGACCAAAGTCTAATTTAAACTGTACTGATGTCTGTATGCAGAATACCAGTGGCAATCCAGCCCCATTGCGCGTAAACAAAATGACACTTGGAATTCTTTCCGCTGTGCCAAGCGTTGCTTGTGGTGAATAGAACCAGAGTAGTCAAGGCAGCAAACTTCGAACCCTATGCCTCGAGTTCCAACCCAGCACAGATTATCTCCATGTGCTGGGTGGATAGGAGGCTGAAATGAGTTATGGGGTGTCAGGGTCGGAAGGATCAACACCGAACCGCCAATCGGGATACGATCCTTGTATTCGTAACGATCAAGTTCCACTTCAATGAAGTCCGAGGACTGAATAGTTGTGGCGAGTCGCATTCAAGGCACTTAGCGCGGAAAGAATAACCCCCTAGGAATTCTTTACCTCAGTGCCAATCGTTGCTCATGGCTCTTGGAGCCATATTGCTCAAGGCGTCCAACTTTGTACACTAGGTCTCAAGATCCACTTCACCTCAGGCTAACTCAATCTGATGAGTACAATGAGGACGAAATTGGGTTTGCATGTCTGACTTGAGAGCAGCAACTCCCAACCACCAATTAGGATACGGTCCTTGTGATCGTAATGACCTGAGTCCTGTTCAAAGGAGACCGAGGTCTGAATAGATATTGCGAGTGGCAATCCAACCACACAACGGGTACAATAAAGGGCTCTTGGAATTTTTAACTGTGCCAAGCGTAGCTCGCGGATCTTGGAGCCACAATGTTCGAAGTGTCAAAGTAAGCCTAGAAGTCCACTCCATTTCATGCTACCTGCATCTGATTAGTACAAAGGAGGACGTAACCGGTTGTTGGGTCTCAGATTCGGAAGAAGTAAAACTGAACCACCAATTCGGAAGCCGTCTTTTGAACTTAGTGAGCGAGGCCTACTTCAAATAAAACCGAGGTCTGGATAGAAAGCGCAAGTCGCAAGCCAAACACACAGCAGGTACATCAAATGCCACTTGGAATTCTTTATCGCTGTGGCAAGCGTTACTCGCGGCTCTTAGTGTAATAATAATCATGGCGTTAAAACTTTAAACACTAGGCCTGGAGGTCCACCCACCTCGGGTTATCTCCATCTGATTATTCCAAAGGAGGATGAAATCGGTTATGGAGTGTCAGTGGTGGGGGAGCAACACCGAACCAACAATTCGGGTACGGTAATTGTGATCTTAATGACGGAGGTCTAATTCAAAGGATCGAGGTCTGGATAAAGATTGCGAGCTGCTATCCAACCACACAGCGAGTGCACCAAATGCCGTTTTTAATTATTTACCGCTGTGCCAAGCTTTTCTCGCAGGTCTTTAGCCAGTGTGGACAAGGCGTCAAACATTGAACACTAGGCGTCGAGTTCCACCCCAGCTCAGGCTAACTCAAGCTGATGAGTTCAAAGGGAAGAAATTGGTTATGGGGTGTCAGGTGTGGGATGAGCAACGCCGACCCACCAATTCGGATACGGTATTTGTGCTCTTAACGACGATGGTCTACTTAAAAGAAGCACGAGTCGCTGTCTAACCCCACTGCGGGTACACCAAATGCAACTTAGAATTCGCTAGCGCTGTGCCAGTCATTGCTTGCGGCTCTAAAATCCATAGTGGTCAAGGCGTCAAACTTTGAACAATAGGCGTCGAGGTCCACCTTATCTCCGGCTACCTCTATCCGATGAGTCCGACGGAGGACGAAACCGGTTTTGTGTAGTCAGGGTCTGTAGGATTAACACCGAACGACCAATTTGCCTACGGCCCTGGTGATTGTAAAGTCCGTGGTCTACTTCAAATAGGACTGTGGTCTGATAGATATTGCGAGTCGCGGTCCATCCTCTCAGCAGGTACACCAACTGCCAATTGCAACTATTTGCCTACTTTGCACCTTTCCTGCAGCTTTTCTTAAGCACACCTAAATCTATGGCCCCTACACCCCATACTACCCGCAGTACGGTAAGTCAGGCCATTCCGCCTATCTTTTCCGGTCTGCCTATCTCGCTTACCCTGTTGGAAATTTGACACTGACTTGCAATCTCTCTGCCGGAGTAACCGACAGGTGACATCGTAAATCCCGTCTACACAGCAGATGGGTGTTTATTGATATAGGTTCCTATTCTTTTAAGATTTTCCAAAGTATGTTCTTTCTAAAAGTGTGAGCAAGATGTGTGCACGCGTACAAACTCGTGCAGTAACCAGACAGCTTTATTTCTTGGCAGTTTCGCATCCGCAGGTCTTCAGAACAACGGCAATTTACAGTAAGGCGCAGGTTACCCGCGTTTGCAGGAAACAACTCATTCTTAGGCATACAATTTCACAAGCTCAATAGCAGCTGCGATGTGACAAACTGCTTTAAAAACTGGCTGCACATAAGGCTGCACCGATCAGTTGTACGTAGGATGCGGAGCCCGGCACGCATTTAGCGCTAGATAAGGTCGTCATTGGAATACAAGCTGCTGTCTGTGTAGTTTGCAGATGGAACCAATGTTGCCGTGAAAATGGTAGATTGTGGTGGCTGTCTGCCTGTGTCTAGCTGCGACGAATCTACACAAAACCTACTAACTCCCCCTACTACTTACAACTAATAACTACTCGCCTTAGCAGCTTACATGCTACCTCGATTGGTGGCGCCTTGTCAAGGAATTCGTTACTCTGAAGGCCAGCCCTGTCCTCTGCACATTCATAACATACAAGACAGGGCAGGATGAACTACGCAAAATAGCGCAGTTAGATATCAGTCATGGCGGTCCGCTACCGTCGCCCATGACTCAGTGACATAAGTCGCTGGCTCGCAAGAGTAATGTCGTGGGTTCGAATCCTGCAGGATTCGGCGGGCGCGCTACTGACGAGTCTCAGTTGGACGAAACGGCTGTCTAACGCTTTCGTGGATGTGTGGTGGCTGTCTGCCTGTGTCTAACTGCGACGAAGCTACACAAAACCTACTAAATCCCCCTATTACTTACAACTAATTTGCAAAACTAATATGGTACACCTGATGCTTTCGTCGAAAAATAGCTCATTTGCTGTAGCTTATTGCGTCTATCGCTCGGCTACGGAAATACGCGGTCATCCAGTCACGGCGGATACAGAATCTCAGATAGGGGCTAGGAGCCGCGTCACTATCACATGCGTTTCCAATTTTGTTGATCCGCTTATCCGTAATGAGGAGGAGTATGGTCCTCATCAGATAGGTAGGAGAGGGACTCTGGGTCTGTTGCATTTGGTGTGTAGCAGCCTGCGTAAGGTTCCGTGCAGTAGTCTATGACTGAGATACTTCCGAATCGGTTTGTACTTATCCGCTGAGCAAGACAGTAAGTATTAGGCACCAGACACTGCATGGTCGGAAAGGGCGTCCAACTTGACCTGGGCACGCTTTGTTCAACATCCACGAAATCACCAAAGCTCACTTCGGAGTTTAATTCATGCGCAGTCATGGGTGCTTAACGCGATAAGCGGTTCACTGTGCTAAGGGGAATGTTTGCTTCAAGGCAGTAAAATAACCTACGTATACTAGAATCGGTGCATTATCAGCATTCGACATTACCTGAACCTGTCAGCTTCACCTTATGAAATCATCTAATGGTGCGCCGTCGCCGCTCAATTAAACGGTTCGACACTCCATAGCAAGGACCATGGGATTTGCATCCAACAAGCGGGACCGTTTTACAAAATCGTTTTCTTATGGTAAATTGTGTGTTTAAATGCCTTGGAACAAGATCGTGCGCAGAATCGCAACATTAATATACAAAACATGGATACAAAGCAGAACGACCTCAGATTTTAAAACCTTTGATTACATATTATGTCAAACTGTTCCCGCAACAATGACATATTCGCGATAACCTAAAAATCATGTTCAGCGAAACATTCTAGAGCGGGATCGCTCGGTCGCTATATGTCAGGGTTGTCCCGCCCCAAGGAAAAGTCGGAAAGTGACGGATATATGGACGAGATAGAAGTGTATTATCGACAAACACAATTCCGCCAGCTAAAGGCACAGCAAAAAGGCCCAAGCTAGGGAAAGTTATAGTCGCCAGCCGAGAAGCAGCAAATGCCCGTCGAGACGTAATATACAGAAGCGCGCGCATGCAATTCGTCTGGATGACTCAAACGCAAGAAGTCATCATGCTAACAGGCAAGCTTCATAAGTCATCTATCTACAGAATGATATTACATCTAATAATATTTTACACAAGCAAACCGGACAACTTCCAGTTCGACCGTTGATTTAACGGCACTTAATTGTAACTGCCTCTAGACCCAAGAGCACTTTATCGAGTCTCCGCTGGACAAGCTGATAAAAAACAACCAGCACCGAATCTTCATCTTGTTTCCACGGTAGATAGAAACCGAGCTTTTACCCAACTGAGTGGTGGAACACTGTCTCCCGTATTCAAACGTGCCACGGACACAGTCTAAGTATCGTGGACAGATAATATGCTACTTGTATAGTAAAAAAATAAACTCTATACTGGTTTTCATCGTGAGAATTGCAAGCAGAGGATACCTAATTTGTCAGAATTTAATTAAAGGTCGCCGTATCCTGCATGTCACGCTGCTTTAAGGTTGTTTCAAGGCCGTCGCATTTATTAAGGATGATTGCTCGTCCGAGAAATTCAATCCACATTAAGAATCTTCCTGATGAGATTACGTGAGTTATACGCTTCGCCACAGTTTGTTTACTTGCATACCAAAAGTAATTTACGCCATATTTTGCCATTGAGCCTGGAATCCAAAACCTAATTGAGGAACCATATCCGGACTGATATCGTGCTATTCAGTCCTGCTAGATTATCTGGTCTTCGCAAGCATTGTATGAAGCTGGACAAACCGCGGTCCGATCGTTAGAGCGGAGACACGGTTATCACGTCAGACTTGGAGCCCTTGGTTGTTGGAGGACCAACGCACACTCGAAGCCCCACAGCGTCGAGCAACCAAACTGGTCCGAGGTCTCAAGCACCTGGATTATCCACAACGACTTCAGTGCCTGGGCCTCTACTTGCTTAAGTACCGACGTCTACGGGTTCCATTGTAACCGACTTGCAATGTCCACCTTGATCCCTGTGACGAACGGGAGGCGATGGAGCTGACAAAGTATTTTTCCTTCTGCTCTCTACATTCCAATGTTCCATGTTCATGATCTTATCCAACCTTGGACATCCCTGTCGCCACCTACTCACACTGCACCAATCGGGCTCCCAACTACGTGGCCACCCACTGAGGCTCACACATCAGCACAGTCGACTGAACTGCAGACGACACACTTCGCTTTGCGAATCTGCCGACCGTGGAATGCTCTGCCTGCCGATTTAGTCTTGGCACCCACTGGGGCTGACTTTAAGACCCGCTTGGACTCTCATGTGGCCCAGCTACACCGCGATATTCCCTAATTTAACTGCATTCTACTGGATGGAATTTCTTTCTTTTTTTCTTCCACCTAATTCCTTTCCAAAGCCCTTTCGGAGGGCGTGGTGTGATGTCTCGCTTTGAGCCGGCGTGCATTCTGTTTAAATGCCACAAATCGAAATCCCCGTCTACAGTGTCACAACTAAAGTCTGCTAAACAAGGTAACACGACTTGAGAAATTGCTAGCCGAGAAACCGGCCTTACCGAAACCGGTGAAGCCAAGCGATAGCAAGTCACCATGGGGACGGCTATGCAACGTCATGATTTTCCACGCACCTGAGTCGACTGATCCCAGTCCCCAGGTACGCTATGACCATTATGTGCAATTCTTGCGGTCTCTAACCGACAAACTACTGGATGTTGGCGAACCCGGGTTACGAGTGAAACAAGTCACTCGTCTGGGGAAACAAGTTGATGGCAAGTGTCGGCCTCTGCGCATCGCGTTCGCCGACGAAACTGCCCCAAGGTTAGTACTGTCCCGCCTCGGTCGCCTAAAGGGGATGAAAATTCATGTCCGGCCAGACCTTGATCCCGCAGAACGCGAGCAGCTGAAGTCTGCCGTGATCGAACTGAAACGACGCACGGACGCCGGTGAAACCAACCTGCGTATCGTAAATTTTCGCACAGTTGCCCGGATACCCCGAATCCGGGTAAACAGAGCAATGACGCTTCAAACTCGCCTAGCGGTTCGTACCGCGGATTGCGTGTAGCGTTCATTAATGTATGCAGCTTAATGAACAAGCACGATGATCTGATCCGCTTCATTGCTTCACGTCGACCAGATGTGGTTGGTTTGGCTGAGACGTGGTTGACATCTGAAGTGACAAGCGAAGAAATTGCGAACACGGATTATTCGTGCTTCCGCTGTGATCGACAGTCGAATAACCGCGGTGGCGTCCTACTTTACCTCCGGTCTACCCTGTGCGGGAGACTCGTGAGCACCTACCGAAGCATTGACGGTCTATGTGAGCAGCCGTGGTGTTCGATCCACCTACGACGCGGCGAACTGCTTGTGGGTGTGGCATATCGTAGCCCACGGAGTAACGGGTTGGATTGGCTCACACACGTCCAAAACCAAATGAGTCGCCCGCAGTTCCTGCTCACTGGCGACTTTAACCTTCCTCGCATCTTATGGCCTGAAGTTCAGCTTCTCCCTGGCCATAATGAAGTGGAGACAAGATTCGCCGAACTGGTACTGGAAACCGGAACGGTGCAGCACATCACGCAACCCACCCGCATAACCCCGCGCTCAATTCCATCATGCCTGGACCTGCTGCTAACCAGCTGCGAACAAACAGTGCATGACATAGAAGTTCTTGAGCCCATGGCGGCCAGTGATCACTCGACAATTATGGCCACTATAGACCTGCAGCTTCCATGTGTGCGTCCAGTGGCGCCAACATACAACTATTGGAAAGCTGACTTCGATGGCCTCATTCTAGCTGCCAATCAGCTTGATTGGTCTATGCCACAGGATTCATCCGTTGAAACTTGCTGGGCAAACATTAAAGGGGCAGTGCACTCATTGTGTGCGCAATTTGTACCCCTCAAGACTCGGAAAGTTGGACCAATGAAACCCCATTGGTTTGACAAAGAGTATAACCGACTGTCTCGACAACGGCGTCGACTATGGAATGCGTTCCTCCTGTCTGGCTCTGCCGATGACTATGAGGCATACAAGCGACAACGAAACTTGTGCAACAGCACAAAGACGCGAAAACGCCGTCAGTTTGAGGAGCAGCTTGCTTGCTCAGCTAAAACTGCCCCGAAGCGCATATTTGCGTACGTGAAGCGACGCCTGAAGTCTGCAGGTGATGTGCCGGTGCTAGTGGGTTCGGACGGACAACCACTAAGTTCAAGCACCGAGCGTGCGTCCGCATTAGCGGCGCACTTCGCTTCTGTATTCGCAACTAACCAAACCTGCGCGCCAAGCTCTGCCGTCGCCGCACCGACTGAGCTAACCGACTTGATCTGCGACGTCGCGGAGGTACATGGTCTAGTCAGCTGCCTAGACAGCACGAAGCCAGCTGGACCGGATGGTCTCCATCCGCTGATCCTCAAGTCCTTGTCAGCTGTGATCTCACCTGCTGTAACCGACCTGTTCAACCGATCCCTATCCATAGGCTGCGTGCCTTGTGACTGGAAATGCGCCGTTGTCAAACCGATTCCAAAAGGCGGTGACACACGCAAAGTGGAGAATTACCGCCCTATTTGTTTGACCGCAGTATTGTCGAAAGTTCTGAAGAAGATTGTGAAGAAGAGACTGCTCCAGCTACTGGAGACCAACTCTCTCCTGACGCCTGCACAGCATGGTTTCGTGAGAGGCCGCTCGTGCATCACTAACCTGCTGCTAACATGGCATGAATGGTTGCAAGCAGTAAACCAACGTAAGTCAGTCGACGTGGTATACGTCGATTTCAGTAAGGCCTTCGACAGAGTGAATCATGAGATCCTCCTTCAGAAACTGAGGGAGTGCGGAGTCGGAGGCTCGCTGCACCAATGGATCCGTGACTTCTTAGTTGGACGGAAGTGGAGGGTGCAAGTCGACAGCCACCTGACCGACTGGTACCCGTCGACGAGCGGCGTTCCTCAGGGGACGGTGCTTGGCCCCATTCTCTTCCTGATTCACATCAACGACGTGCCCAATCTCCTTCGGTCGCCGTGTGCCTTGTTCGCGGATGACCTGAAGCTATGGAGGGTGATCCATACGTCGGACGACTTTGACATACTTCAGCAGGACCTCGACCGCCTCTCCATGTGGTCCGCCGAAGTAAGTTTGCCTATCAACTCGGCAAAATCGCTACTTCTGTGCCTCGGTAAAGGTGGAGCGGGCCGATCGTACACTCTCGACGGCCAAGTTCTACACCCGACGCATTGCGTCAGAGACCTTGGCGTTATACAACGTTACGACATGAAGTCACTGGACAACACGGACAATATGTATCGCACAGCATTGCGTTCGCTGTGGGCGCTGAAACGTAGCTTCTGCACCTGGTCGAAAGAGATTGCCACTCGTCTCTTCACATCCATTGTACGACCGGTGTTAGAATACGGCTCACCCGCCTACTGTCCGTTGACGAAAGGCGAGATACACAAGCTCGAAAGAGTACAACACATAGCCACACAGCTCATTCCCGGTCTTCAGGGTGTGCCGTATGAAGAAAGATGCAGACAATTGGGTCTGTATACTCTAGCCTACCGCCGCGTGCGAGTGGACCTCATCATGACCCATCGGGTATTGCATCTGGGTGCTTATCCCGATGCTGAGGCCACTGCTCCATGTCCGTGCGTCAAGCAGCACACGAGGTCACCAGTACAAACTGGTAGTCCCTGACCTCAAGTGGGTAGCTCATCCCTTGTGTCTTGAGCGGCGAGTGGTGAACATGTGGAACCGTTTGCCCTCGCGGATAGTAGAAGCGAACTCGGTGTCGGAATTCAAACGATTCCTGGACGCGCACTTTGCGGATGCCAGATTCGACGAAGCCTTCACAGGAAACTGACGAAGGAATCGTTCAATGATTATAACCCATGGAGCCCGTTAATCCACCAACTGCAGCTTCGGAAACGATGCACATCCGTAATAGGCGGCGGAGCTGGTGAAGGACTCCATGTGGTTCATCCAAGAATATATCGTAAGTACATGGAGATTTTTTCTATGCTTGTAAATATTTTACTTTTTTCACCTGGGCTAGCTCACTACTACAGGTAACACTGTGTCAGTGGGACATGTCCTACATTGAGATATAGCTACATAGATGTTCAACATCTTTCTCGCTATCATGGCAGTAAAGTAAAGTACAGTAAAGAAGATACGGCTAACACGCGAGTCCAACCCGCTATAAGGTTGCTCGGCCTTTCATTAGACCCGACCCGTACTCTTTTTACCCTATGGGTCATGTAAAGCTCGAGCTTTTATTCCCATTAAATACAATGTTCCAATGTCATCGAGCGCTGGAACCTGCTTCCAGAACATGTCAAGGAAGCTACGGTTCAGGGGTTTGAGCGTCAACTGGATGCTCTTGGGTGGCAACACGAAACCTTTCCTTTTTCCTGACTAATTCCCATCTTCATATTTCGATTCTATTTTCTTTACTTTTCCTCGCCATTTGTATTATTCTCTTCTTTTAACTGATTTCCCCTACTCTCTTCAAGTTCAAGCGGGACTGGAACGATAGGATTATCCCCTGAGTGTTCCTTCTTCGGCGGGTCGTTGAACCAGGAGTTGGCGAACTTTGAAATACTGAT